TGAGTAACGTAACGGAATACGTTACAGAATACATTTTGGGGCATGTATTCTGTATTCTGTAATGGAATACATTTTAAAAGTAACCTTCCCAACACTGCCAGTAATTGAAAGCACAAATAAGGCTTACGGAGTACCAAAGAGTAAGAAATCAGAAAAGAAATCAGAAAAGAAATCTAGCTCTCTTAGCTGTGTTCTTAATTTTTACTAAATGTCTTCTCGTTGGAAATGTTTTAAAGAAGATTTTCTTATTGGTTTTTAAACCAATCCGAGATCAAGATGCCAAACATAGGACACTGCTCCAAAACGCTCATCTGCGTTGCTCAATAGGTCACGAAGAGGTCCCTGGGCAGCTGCCCCGAAACCTCGACACTCCCGGAAAAGTAAGATGTGAAACACTTCAAGAATGACACCGTTAGCCAGCTGAAGCTTTGTTAAAAGCAAGCTGTCATCTCCTGTATGAGAGAACTACTGAATGAAAATCACCCCACAACATTTTCCACAGTTGACCTCTTATACTTTCCATGAAGGACAACAGGCAAGAAACAGAAGAAAGACTTTTTAAAGGGTGTAACAATGGGACAGCTTCTGTACTCTTCTTATAGAGACGTAACTTGTCTGTGGTTGCTCAGGTCATTTCCCTTTCCTTACTTTAACCCTGAGCTTTAGTGAAATCTTTGTTTAAGTGAGAATGTCAGAATATGAGTTTAAACGGTTTGCTAACGTCACCACTGAAGCCAAACAAAAAGTATTACATCATCGGCTCTCGCAGTTTTTAGAGTTTGTCTAATCCAATCTGCTGGTATTGAAAAGGACACATCTGTAATGTTTGTGCAGAACACAGTGTCTCACCCTTGAAACAATAAAACTGATTGATGATAGGAGTAGAGCAGAGAGAGCCTCTTTAGTGTTTCATTATTTCTTCAATAAGTGGGATTGGAAATTTACTACAATGGCAATGTCCCAGTTTTGTGGCCATCAATTTCTTGAGGTTGGGCACAAAAACGAAATTTCCATTGTTAAAGAAGTACATGCCAAACACACACAAACTCGCACACCCGCACACACAGGGTTAGTGTTTGAATGCACATTTTTTTTTAACCCCTAGTCAGGTCTGTAAGTTTGCACGGTTGTCAGAAAGAACAGGAAAACTATGACAGGTAAAAGAGTGCAGTTCATCTGGTCCACAGCAGCAGGGAGTCATAGAGTAGCATTTTCCTTCAGACCAGCACTCTGGAGGATCCCAGACGCCACATTAAAACCTTAGCGACCCGGGTGAAGGTGCACAGGGTCTGCTACCACCTACAGATGTTGAGGTCAGACTGAGTGAAAGTGAGCAAAGAGCACTGTTTCTCTTGGAAAGCTGCAGTTGCACATTGAACGAGATGCGCATGAGAGACGTGTACGTGAGAATTCATGTATGTCCACATATATCTGATGGTTGTTTGATTTGCGTGTCAACAGCTACAAAACTGAGAAACGTCAATCAGATCTGTACAGCAAACGTGTGTAATCTTTAAATTAACTGATGCTTTGAAGGCGAGAGCATATTTTCCACCAGTCACAAAATGTCACTTTTTGAGAGCTAGTAAAAAAGAAAAAAGAAAATGTATTGAATTTTGGGGAATTTTTAAGAAGCTGCTTTAAAAAATCTCCCTCACCTCCTGGGTACACCACTATGGGAGCAACTTAAGGCTTCAAATCTTGTTCATTTTCTTTAAAATGATCATAAATCCTGCTAGCATACGTTGCGTCTTACAGAGCGTAATAAATAAACAGGATTAGAATGGTTTGGGAGGGGGGTTGTTTTTAAATGAGAAGCTCCCTGACAGGAAAAAAGGCACACCAGTGCGTTCACAGTGTTTTGAGCAAGATTTTATAAACAGACGACAGGATTTGGTATACTTAACTTTCAAAAATGCACGTTTAATCCGAGATGGAATAACAGGTACGGCAGTTCGGGATCAGTTTGTCTCATTTCCTTGAGGCTCTGCGGTGTCATTTCCAACAAAAATTAATTATGACTTGAGAAGGCAAATTCAACTCCGTTTTCCACTCTGTATGCACTTTAGTAAAAGCCACTGTTTGCAGCTTCAGCAGCACATTAGTCTACGAGGCTTCTTGCTGTCTGGTGTAGTCCTTTTGCGTATGTTTCCACTACTTTCTTTCCACTTCCATCCTTCTATAAATCTTTATAATTTTCTCTGCAAACCACATCACACACCACCATACTCTTTCAAAGCACCTTTGCCTTATCAATTTTCTTCTCTCGCGTCCATTCAACTCCTTTGTTATTGAAAATATTTCCGTATGTCAGAAATACATCAAATTAAATGTTTATCATAAATATTTCCTAAATAAAATCTGCATTTATAAAATTTGTAACAAACACGTGGATGTTGACCTAATACCTTGTGAGAGGCAGCTGAGGTGTTACCAGTATCTCTTTGACATTATCCATTGCAAACACGTGGGAATTACCCTGTGGCTGAAGGCTCCTCACAAGGCTTTTAAATACTGATCTCTGAAACTATTAATCTGATTATAAACTGGTACACGAGTATCCCGCCTGCTCCTGGTCCCTGCTTCCATGAGAACAGTAAGCCCACTGAAACTAGAGAGAGCAGCTGAAATGAGCCAACGTCTCACCAGTTTCTCAGACTGTCTAATCTGTTCATTGATTGGTCACAAATCTTAAACCCCAGTTTGGTTACTTTGAGCAGCTTTTGCAAAATCTCAATACGAGGTCAGGGTCTGTGTTAATGGCTCCGTTTATTAAGATGGGACAGAAACATAGCCAAGCAGAGCACAGAGGAACTGAAGGTTGTTAAAGCTGGGAGGGAGAAGGTGGGGAGTCAGGTTAGGGGAGAAGTGGTTAGGGTTAGGGTAACCTGAGATGAATGGGGCATTCCTTCCAGGGCAACTACATCTGCAGATACAATTTTCAGCTACACATAATCTTGTCATTATGCAAGCCATCTGATGGATTGTATGTGCATGCAGTAGCAGAAATCTAAAGAGGCCCCCTTAACTGCAAGGTTTTAGAAGGATAAAGTAGAGAAAAATCATCTTCAAATCTTCAATATTTCTGGTAAGTTTTGTTATTCGGAGAGGGAACATGCACGGGACATTCAATGCTCGTGTTTGCCCAGAAGCAAGCATAATGGACAAATAAAAAAGGTTTCTAACCCTGCCCTCAGTGTTACTTTCCAGGCTACCTGAATCTCATTTCACTGGTCTGCAGTGTAACCTACCTACTTAGAACTTGCCAGCAGTTTCAGGGTAAACTCATCCAACTGTGTGCTGCTATATCTCATTCTGGGGAGTGTTTTTCTTACATCTGAGTGGAGCAATATCAGCTGACACAGGCTGCACTCTACCTCCCACAACACTCCATCCGTCATACTCATACTGGTCTCAATAACACTCATGCACTATGTCATATAAGTGGAATTTGCAATGGACTGTCTTATTTGCGCTGATGTCTGCCTCTTTAAATCATAACTGTTTGAATTACCTGACTTTTCCTTCGCATGAGTGTATGACCTGGACTGTGACTTTATATTGCAGCTGTTTATCTGACTCCTTAAAGCAAGGTTTCAATTGCTTTATGATGACCGACGCCCATTCTTGTGTGCTTCCTACCATGCAGGTGTCGCAGTGCTTGTATCTCCTGACATCCCCCTGCAGCTCGGGCTGGACAGCAGACAGCAGTTCTGCCTACAGTCACTTCCAAGTATGGAGCGACTCCCTCTGCAGTACACTGTGTGTGTGGCCCACAATGTAAAAGCTGCTCACCAGGAAGCAGTGCAACAGCTCTGGGAGCACAGCAGGGAGCTGCCCAACATGAAAGCACTGCGGTTAGTTCAGTTTAGATTTAGATTAGACCAGATGTAAATTTCACTCTGCTTCACTTCTGGTTATTATAACAGCGGTGCACTGGTGTGGTTGGTGAGCACCGATTTAAACTTTAATCTCGCGAGCCAACTGTGTTTAACTGTTCCAGTGTGATTCCTGTGTGTGTGCCGCAGGCTGCCATTCTGGAAGCTGCTCGCCAACATGGACTCGGGGCCGAAGGTGGAGCGGGAGATGAGGACTTTCTCGAATCGTCTGAAGAGACACCAGCTGGGGGAGGGAGTCATCAGCCTCAATGAACATTCCACCACCCTCCTTTCTGATATGGTACACGATGCAGACACACACTGACTACTGAACTGTGCTGTGTCTTCTCCCAGCCTTTAAAGGCTGTGACAGAGTTAAGTTTTCATTATGAAAATATTCTGCAAAGGCAAGCCCAATCTGGGTTGGATAAAAATCCCACTTGTTTAACCTTTTAAATGAAATAAAAAATAAAATTAACCCACCAACAGGATTTAACAAATAGTGGGATAGGGATTGGTAACACGCTCTGTCTTGACAGTTTTTGTATGGCAGGTGTGAGCTCTCATATTAATAAATGGATCATAAAAGGTTTTTTCGAATGCAACCTTTGCTTTATCGCACTGAAGTGGACATTCCTGGTGGCTCGGGCCACCTGCTGCGGTGCTGCTGCCATTTGCCATTGTAGGTATCAACTGATGGAGATATTAGAAGTTTTGCGGGTGCAGGCATCAGCTGTATTTAGCTTAAATTTTTATTTAAACATTACAAATATAGTGTGTTGACATTATAGCTGGCTGCAGGGGCCATGCTTTATGTTCAATTCTACTTGTCTGTTGATATGAGGTCTTGAAATGAAAAGCCAGTTCATGGAGTTTCTATTTTCAGTAGAAGCTCTCTTCTTTTACTAAGCCTAGAAAAGTTTATGTTAACCCAGTGACTAGAATTAAGATGTGTATATTATTCTTTTTTCATTCATCTTCATTTCTTTCGCTGCATAGCTGCAGATTTTCATAATCCACTCCTTCAACCACAGAGGTAGTGTCAGGTTTTGTGTGGAGGCGAGGAAGGAGGAACCCAAACGCAGGACTCGCAGGTAGGTGAAGCCCGGTGGTTTATTATGATGAGCGGATGAAACAGGACGTGCAACGGAGGGCTGACTGAACTGAAATGACTGAACTGGCTGGATTGGAAACACGGACAGCGTACACAACATCAACATCAATGACACGACAAAGAACTGGTGAAACCGAGGAACTTAAATACACAGGTTGAATGATGACAATGATTGGAAACAGGTGAGTACAGGGCTGAACATAATCTGACTAATGACACAAGAGACAAGCTGACACGGGGAAAAACAGGAAGCGAGAACATTAATGTGGCGAACTAAACTGAACATGAACAAACTGAAATCACTAAGTCAACGACCCAGGAACCCTGACAGTAACCCCCCCCCACTTCAAGGGCCGGCACCCAACAGCCGAAAAAAGAAAGAAAACAGAACAGGGGGGGGCGGAGAGGGAGTCCAAAACAAAACAGTTCAGGTGGGGGGCCACGCGGCCAGAGACTGAGCCAAAGCAGTTCTGGTGGGC